CCGTCCTCACTGTGTCACTAGTCACCCCCCCACTGTCACCAGTCACCTCCTCACTGTGTCACTAGTCACCCCCCCTCACTGTCACTAGTCACCCCCCTCACTGTCACTAGTCACCCCCCCACTGTGTCGCTAGTCACCCCTTCCCTCCCTCACTTTGTCACTAGTCACCCCCTCCCTCGCTCTGTCACTAGTCACCCCCTCCCTCGCTCTGTCACTAGTCACCCCCTCCCTCTGTCACTTGTCATCCCCTCCCTCACTCTGTCACTAGTCACCCACTCACTCTAGTGACAGAGTGAGGGAGAGTGTGACTAGTGACAGAGGGAGGGGGTGACTAGTTAGGGAGGAAGTGACTAGTGACAGAGGGAGGGATGGGGTGACACAGTGACAGAGGGAGGGATGGGGTGACACAGTGACAGAGTGCGGGAGGGGGTGACTAGTGACAGAGTGCGGGAGTGGGTGACTAGTGACAGAGGGAGGGATGAGGTGACTAGTGACCATCACCCCCTCCCTCATTCTGTCACTAGTCACACCCTCCTTCACTAGTCACCCTCCCCTGTCACTAGTCACCCCTCCCTCACTCTGTCACTAGTCACCCATTCCCTCCCTCACTCTGTCACTAGTCACCCATTCCCTCCCTCACTCTGTCACTAATCACTACCTCACTCTGTCACTAGTCACCCTCTCCCTCACTCTGTCACTAGTCATCCTCTCCCTCACTCTGTCACTAGAGTGAGGGAATGACTGGTGACAGAGTGAGGGAAGGGGTGACTAGTGGCAGAGTGAGGGAAGGAAGGGGTGACTGGTGACAGAGTGAGCAGATGACTGGTGACAGAGTGAGAGAGGGGGATGACTAGTGACAGAGTGAGTTAGGGGGTGACTAGTGACAGAGTAAGGAACAAAGGGGGTGACTAGTGACAGAAGGAGGGATTGAGTAGTGACAGAGGGAGGGAGGTGGTGACTAGTGACAGTCACCACCTCCCTCACTCTGTCACTAGTCACCCCCTCACTCTAGTGACAATGAGGGAGGGGGTGACTAGTGACAGAGTGAGGGAGGTAAGTGGTGACTAGTGACAGAGTTAGGGAGGGAAGGGGTGACTAGTGACAAAGTGAGGAAGGGGTGACTAGTGACAGAGAGAGGGAGGGGTGACTAGTGACAGAGTGAGGGAGGGAAGGGGGTGACTAGTGACAGTCACCACCTCCTTCACTCTGTCACTAGTCACCCCCTCCCTCACTCTGTCACTGTGTCACCCCCTTCCTCACTCTGTCACTAGTCACCCTCTCTCTCACTCTGTCTCTAGTCACCCCGTCCCTCACTCTGTCACTAGAGTGAGGGGGTGACTAGTGACACAGTGAGGGAGGGGGTGACTAGTGACAGAAGGAGGGAGGGAGTAGTGACAGAGGGAGGTGGTGACTAGTGACAGAGTGAGGGAGGGAAGGGTGTGACTAGTGACAGTCACCACCTCCTTCACTCTGTCACTAGTCACCCCCTCCCTCACTCTGTCACTGTGACACCCTCTCTCTCACTCTGTCACTAGTCACCCCGTCCCTCACTCTGTCACTAGAGTGAGGGGGTGACTAATGACAGAGTAAGGGGGTGACTAGTGACAGAGTGAGGGGGTGACAGGTGACAGAGTAAGGGGGTGACAGGTGACAGAGTAAGGGGGTGACTAGTGACAGAGTGAGGGGGTGACAGGTGACAGAGTGAGGGAGGGGGTGACAGGTGACAGAGTGAGGGAGGGAGTAGTGACAGAGGGAGGTGGTGACTAGTGACAGAGGGAGGTGGTGACTAGTGACAGTCACCACCTCCCTCACTTTGTCACTAGTCACCCCTTCCTTCCCTCACTCTGCCACTAGTCACCCCTTCCCTCACTCTAGTGACAGAGTGAGGGAGTGACAGAGAGAGGGAAGGGGGTGACTAGTGACAGAGTGAGAGAGGGGGTGACTAGTGACAGAGTGAGGGAGGGGGTGACTGTCACTAGTCACCCAATCCCTCTCTCTGTCACTAGTCACTCCCTCCTAACTCTGTCACTAAACACCCCCTCTGTCCTTAGTGACAGAGTGAGGGAGTGACAGAGAGAGGGAAGGGGGTGACTAGTGATAGAGTGAGAGAGGGGGTGACTAGTGACAGAGTGAGGGATGGGGTGACTAGTGACAGTCACCCCCTCTTTCACTCTGTCACTAGTCACCCCCTCTCTCACTCTGTCACCAGTCATCCCTTCCTTCCCTCACTCTGCCACTAGTCATCCCTTCCCTCACTCTGTCACCAGTCACCCCTTCCTTCCTTCACAGTGACAGAGAGAGGGATGGGGTGACTAGTGACAGAGAGAGGGATGGGGTGACACAGTGACAGAGTGAGGGAGCGGGTGACACAGTGACAGAGTGAGGGAGGGAGTGACTAGTGACAGAGAGAGGGATGGGGTGACTAGTGACAGTCACCCCCCCTCACTCTGTCACTAGTCACCCCTTCCCTCCCTCACTTTGCCACTAGTCATCTCTTCCCTCCCTCACTCTGCCACTAGTCATCTCTTCCCTCCCTCACTCTGCCACTAGTCACCCATTCCCTCACTCTGTCACTAGTCACCCCTATCTCCCTCCCTCTGTCACTAGTCACCCACTCCCTCACTCTGTCACCAGTCACACCCACTCACTGTCACCCACTCACTGTCTCCCCCTCACTCTGCCACCACTCAACCCCTCCCTCACTCTGCCACCTGTCACAACCTCCCACACTCTTCCACCTGTCACCTTCTCCCTCACACACTCTGTCACTTGTCATATGCATTCACACTGACCCTATATACAAAAAAGCACATTTAGTCATCCAGACATGCACAAGTGCATTCACACGGACTCAAATACAAACATGCATTGATACACAGGTCTTCACAATACACACATCCAAAGGAATGCCGTATTATGAATTATATTTAACATTTATTTAATGCACATATATTTGGCCTTCAGAGGGCCTGGGATCTAATTTTGCCCGGGGGCCCCAAAGGCTCTCAGTCCGCCCCTGCCGCCTGTAGAGGAGGAGTTAACCCTCATAGGTAATTATTGCAGTTTCTCAGAATTACTACTGTAGGGGTAAGGAACATGGGACAGTGCACCCAGACCACTTCAATGAGCTGAAGTGGTCTGGGTGCCTACAGTGTCCCTTTAAGCCCCTCCATAAAAACTTACTCACCCTAAAATGTTATTCTAATGATCTACTTTAGAAGCAGAGTTAAGCATTGCAGTATACTATATCGCATTATATATCTGCTGAATTTACATTTTTTTTAACTCTCGTGTGAAAGAGTAAACCGACATTCACAGAGGTCCAGACACAAACCTCAGCCTGTGACTGCAACTATTCCTATTATAACACACCATTACTACATAGGATGTACGAGAATTGATGGGGAAAAAAAATTGCAGTTTTAACGAATTAGCATGTAGCCACCCAGCAAAAGAGTTTTAAAATGAGGCAGTTATGGTCCTATTGCAATTGAGGGGTCAGAGAAAAAATCCTAATTATGGGCGACTGACACTCTTTTTGCCGCAAATGTGTCATTATAGAATAGTGATAAGAGTGTTTGTATATGTTCCTTGCCTTGGCTGTTTCTTTGTACTTTGATTGATAACTGTGTATGCATTGATCTTATAAATGTGTTTGGGGTATCCAGATATCATTTCTATTTCCTAAGAAAACAAGTATACCCAGTTGATATATATTGTGAATATGAGATCTCTGAGAACTGACAGAAGCTCAGAGGAACTCAGTAGCTTACCGTTTGCAAAATCCCCGCTCAGGTCTCAAAATAGGCTTTGCTCACTTGTGCCGTTACAGAGAGAACCAGTTCCAAGGCATATCAGACTGATCCCACCCACAAGGACAGTCCAGGACCGAAATGCCGGCAAGCTCTCTTTGCAGGAGTGGACAATTGTTTTGGCCTTCTTTACACCTTGTCAGCAAGGTGTAAATCATACGCCTCTAGGCACAGTGAGCACGGTGTCCACATCTGGATTACCCTTTTAACTTGGGGAGAGGCAAGCCAGTGCAACAAAAACAAAGAATATGAGATATTGTATTTGGCCTTAGAAAGACAGCCCATAAGTTAAATTAGTCCTTACTTTCAAGCTTTCGTTAAAGAATGTTGTGAAGCTACATAAAAAAACATAAAATAACAGAAGTTGTGAATACAAAAAAAAAATTAAAAAAAATAGATGTGTTTGGTACTAGCAGAAGCAATTATTGTTGAAGAAGAAAAAACTAAAAGCCACTGTTAAATAAATTATCTTGCATATGGAAAGGATTCCCAGGAGGGATTAATTCCTTATTAATTAATATGTTAGGTGACTGGACTTAAAAAAAAAAAAAAAAAAAGTGATTTCAACGATACCTGTGAAAAAGAAAGCATTTAACAGCTTCTTATGCTGCACAAAACAGTGACAATCTGCTAAATAGTCGCCCAATTAACAGTTTGTTTAACAGGCTGCAGAGAATTTATTATGCAGTATGCACCCCGTAGCAAAGCTCATGAATATAAAAAAGGGAATATCCTCAAGGGAACAAAAGCAGTAATGGCAAACTGTTTATACTGTGTTTTATGGGAGACGGGCGTTCCCTCCAACCCAAAGTATTTTGATATAATACGGCTTGAAATATTGTATAATTAGCATAAGGGAGTCGGTGCTTATAATAAATAATATATCGCAAATGACACAGTGAGAACGGAGAACAAGCCGAGAGATTTATTCTAACAGACAGTTTTGGAAAATGGAATCATGTTTATTGAAGTCATTTAGCTTCATAGTAAATTCTGTATAAAATTCTTATGGAAATATGTTAAATGTTAAAAGACATAAATCCCTCGCGGATATAATGTATACAGGGGAGAAAATAGTTGTAAAACAAAAAGCGTAAGCATTTTATAATATATTCAAACGGTGAATTTGTACTGCTATTTATGGTGCCTGCTGACATTTGGAGAAATAGTTGGAGAAGGACAGATTTTGGAAGGTTTTCATGGAATAAGCCATTAGTTAGGTCAGTATTTGAGACTTACAAGGTTTATGATTGATGGCTTGCAACTGCACAACAGGAAGGATACTTCTTCAGCCACACACACACAGCTGGTTAATGGGTTGGTCTAGAAAGGAGAATTCCATTGGTCTATCTATTCCAAAGAAGAAATTCCATACCGGAAGTTCCTTAGGTCCCGTCACTTTGTGTAGAGTTTTGAAGAAATGTTAGTTTTTAGGAATTGAAAGCACCACAAAGTTGGAAAAAAGAAGTTCTGGTCTTCACTATTCAATTATTTGCAGTTTAGGAGGTAAATCACTTTGTTTATTCAGCCTTAGCCACACCTCTCCTGGCTGAGACTCACAGAGCCTCCCTTTACACTTCCTGGAAAAAAGAGTCTGAATTGATTAGCTTCCCTTATTGCACTGTGTGTTTAATTTAGAATTTCCTATCTCCTGCTCTGATGAATAGGGACACTGTCCCTTAACATTTTAAGACTACCTCGTGTGCCAGCTGCAATGGATGCAGTCTGGATAAAGTGTCAGAAGTCAGAACCTACAGGCAATACTAGTCCTGAGAAAATGAACAAGTATACAAACCCTGCAGCAGCCATGTGCTATAGTAGGAGCACTCCAACCACTACAACCCACTGCAGCAGTTGTGGTGTTAGGAGTGCCCATCTACGATAAGTAGTCAAACCTTTTAAGAATGGTTTAACAAAATGGTTAAATGGTTTGACCTCCTCCCCGGGGAGGGCGCCTGGGCACTCCTGGAACCTTAACTACTACAGCAGACTATAGTGGTTATGATTGGTGGAGTGTTTCTTGAATATAAAAATTAATCAAAACAGTTATTATTCCAGAAGCAGTAATTTCATAACAAATGTCAATAAAACAATTCTTATTCTGCACCAGGCAGATTGTGTGTGTACAAATTGGTTTATTTACTGAACTATGAGAAATGCATTTGACACGTAGCTTGGAACACAAGACCAAAATTAAATCAACAACTATCCACGTGGAACAAAAGTCAATTAAATAATTCTCAACTGCACAATTTTCATATTTATAAGTATATTCAAGAATACAAAGAAAAACCAAACCATATTTGAAAGCACAACTTCAATGTAGCAGTCTTACAGATGAAGAACTAAACCGAAACCCACCCTGCTATGTGTAGTGACGGCCTTTGTGTATTTTAAAGCTTGCATTGAATACATGCAGCTTTATATTAGCGAAAACATACCCAATTTCTTGTTTGGATTTTTTAGACAAACTTTTACACTGAAAGGCTACAATTGAATGATAAGCACATCAATATGAACCAGAATTTAAAACGGTTTTCATTCCTTTCCTTTTCCCTTCACCTCCAATTACCCATGCAGGTGAGCAGATACTCTATTGCACCTTGTTTTTTGCTCTTCCCAAGTTTAAATGGTAATCCAGACATGGAGGGATATTAGCTATACTTCACTGACGAGGCCTCACATGGCTAAATCGATAGTCTGTGGTTGCATTTTGGATCTGTTCCGCCCTTTTGGGTAGGATCAGTCTCAGATGCAAATGGAACGGGTTATTTTTGTAATGGCACAAGATGAGCTAAAACCAGCTTGAGATCTGAGAGGGGATCTACCAAACGGCAGATTATTTGAGCTGCTGTTCTTTCTCAGTACTCTCTTGCACCTTGTTTTTTGCTCTCCCCCTCCCCCCCCCCCGGTACGTAGATAAGCAACAAAATTAAAATCGAACTTTTATGTGGTCATTCAAATGGAACAGTTCTCCTTTAAAGGGGAAATTAGACTGTTAAATAAAACATAAAAAAAATCTTCTGTATAGGGTCTTAACCTTGTTTTCATGTTATTTTACATTTTTATTTAAATGTGTACTACAAATTAAGCAGGATACATCATGACGCAGTTTAGTCCTGGAATAGTTAGGGCACAGATCACATTAAAAGTTAACGACGGGGCCAAAAATGGAGCCACTCAGTTCCAGGATAATGTAAAATAGAGAGGTGTTGATTTCTACAAAATGTATTTTTCAGATGTAACAAACAAATGTATTTGTTACATAGAAACAACTTCCAGATCAGAACCAGCACCATGCTGACGAGACCCACAAGGCTGTAACTGTATGTACAGTCCAATGCAGGTTTCTAGATACTGGTCCTTTTGCATCATAATTCATGTTATGGTTTAAAAAAAGCTGAAATCACAATGCCTGTGCTCATTTGCATGTCAAAGTGGGAATTCTGGGATTGTTGTGGAAACACGATTTGTCACCTTTCTGTGCCCAATTGGGACTTTCCAAAGACCAACTTGGGACATGGAGGTCATGCACAACAGTAATTTTGCGGTTTGCACTCTGAGTTTTATTGTATTCGTTATCACCATTGTTTTTTTAATATATTTACACATCTGAAATGAACATTGTCAGAATGATACCATATATTATTACTTTCAGATTATACTTTTTGTGTTTTTAAGATTTCACAATGCAGTTTACCCACCCTTCATTGTAAGTAGATGTTCTCAATCAGATGAATTGTGATTTCCTGGCCAACAAACAAGAAAATT